GAGTGTTGTCATTATTGCCGGAAGGTATCGCCAAAGAACACTTTCATCATGTTGATATAGCCACGAAATGAATCAGGCAGTACATCCACCTTCTTGGTGTAACCATGCGCGTGCGCTACGTCGCGCTGGTACTTACTTAAAAGGGCTACAGTGGACTTTTGAAGGCGAATGCACCAAATTTATGAATTCGCGCACCATGTTGTATCATTCCGACTGTGACTAAAATCCGCAATGGATCAAACAAGGGAAATCTGCGATCTGCGATCCTCATATAAACCATCCTACATCCGCGAGAGACATGTCTCAACTAAGGTTTTACAAAATGGCCCAGACATTTGTGAACATCGTTCCACTTGCTTTGGTGTGTAATTGCCGTGAGAGCTTTCGTGCGGCTATTGTACTATTTAATATTTTTATAGTATTTTCTAGCGAGTCTTTTCCGTTTGGGGTTTTCTGCGTCTCTCTTCTGTTGAGCATGCGCAGTGTAAAACATGACGGGTAAACAATCGTGGAAAGCTGGCTTGGAAAGTTGATATTGCTGTGAGAATTAGGCAGATAATACCATGAATTTAAGAGATACATTCTAGTTTAGAAGCTGACAACTGTGAGTTAATGTTCATATTTCAAACAAGGCAAGTCAACAGGTGGTAATACGAATGGTTTTATTTGAGATATACAGAGTTATTCATCTAGATCTGCAGAGGTGATAGGTTTTTTGTATGGAAGGGTGTCTAGCGTTGTATAGACAATCGGTCGCGCACAACCTGGTCGGGCTACAGATTAATGGCTAAACAGATGATTCATAACGCAGCACCATTCTGACCTTCACGATCTGCAGCCGGATATCCGGCCGAAGCGCTCAAACGCCGCGTAGCGGCGCACTTTTTGCTAATTTCGCTCCGCTCTTCCACGCCCAGTACTCAGGTCCTTTCCTAGAGAGAAGGTGAAAGCCGGCTTTTCGCTGATTGAGCAGTTCTCGCCATTGCACGAGGGATCGCACCTACCAGTTAGGTAGAGACTGGCTAGAAATGCTCCCAATTTTTGTTCGCCTACTAGGCGCGCTTTCTTTCCTGTCCTGTAATAACGGAGTTTTTTGTTCACATTGTAACATATTAGCGCTGATTGCGTAGCGTTGACTGGCTGAGCTTAGAGGATCGATATATAGGACAATACAACATGTCTTCGCTATTCGTAATAAATCCAGTTTACAGTTTAGTTTCATTGTCATCTTATCTTGCTATTGTATACTCTCGCATAGTTACACTCCTCATCAAACTAAAGATTTCAACATGGTGCAAGAAGTGCCTAAACTGTGAACAGTGGAAGCTTGAACTGTAAGTGTTCCGTAAGAATTCACGGTGAAAATTCCGGAGTGCTCCGACTCGGACGGCCCAAGGATAGAGAACATGAGTCCCAATAAAACCAATGTGCCTCGTACTCGTGATTCTACAGGCACCTATATATATATGATATCTAACACGATCCCCCAATGGGAGCATCCGAATTGTATTCCCACCTTACGAATACTTCTATTACTACAAGTACATGTTACAATAATTTACTAGTAATACTACTAGTACTACTAGTAACCAGGACTACTACAGTATACTAGTACTAGTACTAGTTACTTACCAGGAGCTAATAATGACAAACTGTGTTACCGGTACTAGTAAGTTACTAATATTAATAATGACGACTCCTGTTAGTGTTACTAGTACTCCTACTAAATATAATAAAATATAATGCTA